TCCATGCTTGGCTGCTATCTTTTAATTACAGGCAGATCAGGCAGCAAGGGCAGACTCCAGCCGTTACCCGCGCCGACGGGCCAACTCCTCCAGACTCAAGGGGTTATTGAGCAATCGCCACAGCTGCCTGTGCCGCTGCACCCGGGACAGCAAAGCTGCTCCGTCCGCAGCAACCGCAGGCGCCGTCCTGCAGCGTGTGCGGCGACCGCGGCTCTGGGCAGCTTTTGCCGAGACATTAATGTGACGCTTTTCGTGAGACAGTGCCGCTCGGGGCACGCCGGGAGGATGACAGCTATCGGAGAGCTGTCGCGCTCCGGGTTTTAGCCGCGGCATTGCTCTGCTGTGCAAAGCAGCTCGTATTTTGCGTACACAAGTAATATTTATCCCTGACAAGAGAGGAATATACAGGAGGGGTTCCTCTCCTGAACACTCCTACGCTTTTTAATCTCTCTCTCTTTAAGGGAATTAAGTCATTTTTCACCCTGAAAATGCCTGCCTTTTTCATATAGGAAATGAAGACAGACCTTTGCCTTTTCTTCACTTTAAAATTGGGATGAGAAAGTTGAGTGTTTGTAAACCTTGAATCTGTAGAAAAATAGTGTAAACATTAAGCACTGGTTAATTTGTAACAGGCTATAACATAAGGGAGAAGCATTTCTGGAGGGCGAGATCTAGCAATAAGGAAAACATCAAAACCGTTTGGGGGGTTATTTACAAAAGCCTGAAGAATACACCCCGGACAAGTGGGAGGGCTTTGGTCTAGCAGGCGTTTTTTATATTTCTGCCTTTATATAATTATAACAATTGGACCACTTTACCCTACTTTCTAAGATGCTTGTATAACGTTTAAGCAAATACTTGAAATGATTGCATGATTACTTAAAAGTTGCTAAATGCTGACTGGGGTTCTATGTCCACATAATTCACGTCACTTCAGAGACCTCTCAGCAAAATCAGGCTTTTCCATCACTCCCTGACTGCAGTGAACTCTGTAAGCGTTTTGTATCACACAGAAATTCTCTGGTTGTTCTACCTAGCTGGAGCTGTTAAATTTAATTATCTTTTCATAGACTTTGTTATTGCTTTGTGCACTGTTTCATCCAGAATCCCACTCCAATCTGGGATGATTAACTTCATGCCTCACTGAGCTAATGGCAGCGCTGCAGCCTGGCTCGCACGCTGCCGAAGCTGCGGCTGCAATCCTTTCAAGGGGAGAAGCAGATGCACAGATAAGATAATCCCGATTTCTAAAACCTGCTCTTTATGTTGAAGTATTTTTAGAGTCCCGGCTTTAAAGTGGAAACCGGCCCTTTGTCAGTATGTCATATAAAGCCTGGAGACAACAGGAGTGTCTATGCGTCTAACAGAACATTCTTATTCCTTTTTGAAAACTCCGTATTACTTCCATGAAGCCATAAAATAGTCAAGAAATGAGCAGTTTCTTGTGCGACTGGGAGCAGGCACTGAGTTCCCTTCTGCTCCTGTGAGGTGACTTACCCACGGGCAGCTCACAGCTAGGATGCGCCTTAAAATCTCTGGGAGCAGCAGTAAAAATGCATCATAAAGAAAACCGTAACTGCAGCGCGACTCTACGCATGGCAGCTTATCCACCCGCCTCGTCTCGCCATTGCAAAACCAGCGTCCCTTGTGCCGGGCTTCCAGAGCCTGCCGGCGCCTGGCGATGCTCGGTGCGCGCCGGAGGACGGGATCGTGCCATCGCGCGGGGACGGGCTCTGCCAGCACCTGCTCCCTCTGCGGCTTCAAGCTCCTCTGTGTGCAGCCACAGAGTCAGCTGTCCAGTGCAAAAGAGACAAAATACCTCGGAGCCGAGTGATTCCCTTGGCCAGTGTAGGCTCCAGCAGCACAGTGGCGAGCAGGGGGGTTCAGCCCACGTCTAAGCAGCTCCCTGTTCCTTCTTTCAGGCTTGCCTGCGCTCCTGTTTCCAAAATCACATGATTGAAATCTGCGGATGCGGTCACTACATGTTCCCTTTACCTGAAGGGGTGAATTACTGCAATAACGAAGATAACCCAGGTTGGGGTAAGAACACGAACAAAACTAATCGCACAGCCTCACCAGGGTCCTGGTACACAGGAGGGGCGGGAACGGGCGCGAGCTTTGTTTGTAAATGCAACAGGTGAATGGCTTTTGCCTGTGTAAAGTCTCCCCGTGGCTCTTTGGGCCAGTGCCAGGGAGAAGGGGCGAAATTGTGGTGCTGGCCATGGGCTGAGGGTCCTCAGCTTCCACGCTGCCCCAGGGCAGGGGGGTCCCGGACGGCTGGCTCCCGCCGGGGGGCAACGGGAGCCTCCGGGTACCAAAGGCAGAAACGGGGTGATGCTCCAGGCCTCTGCGCCTGAGCAGCTCGGAGACAGGCTGGCCCGAGCAGGGGCAGTGGGGTCCTGCAAGGATGCGCAGGAGCTGGGGGGT